AAAAAAAAACTGGGTTGACAAGATTGCTCATGAGGTAAAGGTGCTTGCCTCTGAGACTGACTGAATTTGATCTCCAGGACCTACATGGTGGATGGAGAGAACTGAGTTCTGCAAGTTGTCCTCTGATGTATACATTGGCATGCACACACATGCGCACAGCACACACAATAAATAAATACATGTGTTTATTTATTTATACAAACTCTCACAGCACAGCCCTCACCCCAGCCCTGTGTCCATACATTAATATGTTCTATTTAATTACACTGCATTAATGGAAAAACCGGGTTTGCAATCCACCAAATTGATTTCACAACCGGTTAATGAATCCTGTTAGGAAGCAGGGAAAGTTTCAAGAGATGCTAATGGAAGTCTTGTAGGAAGCAGAGAGAAATGGAAAGAAAGCAAGAGCCCCGCAGTCGGAGAGGGGGCACAAGACCTCGGCCTTCTCTTACCCTGGATATCCAACAATGGGTCCTCCGCAAATACCAACAACACACGGTATAAAATGTAAAGCCTGGCACATGCCTTTAAATCCCAGCACTCGGGAGGCAAAGGCAGGCGGATCTCTGTGAGTTCAAGCCAGCATGGTCTACAGAGGTAGTTCCAGGACAGGCTCCAAAGCTACAGAGAAACCCTGTCTTGAAAAAATTAAAAAGTAAAGCCTGGGGGCTGGAGAGATGATTCAGAAGTTAAGAGCACTGGCTGCTCTTCCAGAGGTCAGAGTTCAATTCTCAGCAACCACAGTGGCTCACAGTCATCTATAATGAGATAGGGTGCCCTCTTCTGGCCTGTAGGCATACATGCAGGCAGAACACTGTATACATAATAAATAATTTTTTTTTTTTTTAAATGTAAAGCCTACAGCCAGCTTGGGTTACAGAATGATTTTAAGGGCAGCCTGGACAACTTGGCAAGACCCTGTCTCAAAAGAAAAAGCAAAAAGTTGACTGGGGGGCGGCAGAGATGGCAGAGTGGGTAAGAGCACTGGCTGTTCTTCCAAAGGACACCCACATGTCAGCTCACACCTGTAGCTCCTGTTCCAGGGGATCCAGTGCCCTCTTTCTGGCTGCTTTGCGCACTGCACACATATCACATGGTGAAGACACATACATCCTACACTTAAAAAACTTATAAAGCGTGCTGGATCTGTTGTTCAGTGGTAGCGATTGCCTAGCTTGTCTGAGGCCCTGGCCTCTGCCCCTAGTGCTGCCTCTTACTGTATCTGAATCCACCAGAGACACAGTTCTCTCGTCCCCAACCTCATCCATTGGAATATGCAGATGAGACCGGATGGGCAAATGGGGCTTTGAGAAGTGCCCAGGCGAAGACAGATTAGGGTGGTCCTAGAATCTACCGCGAGGATGATTTCAGGATTAAATGCTGTTTCTGTGTGTGTGGTGTGTGTGTGTGCGTGCGCGCGCGCGGTGAGGGTGCAGAACAGAACAGACAACCCGGCAGTTAAGAGCTTCCTACTGAGGAGCTGGAGAGACAGCTCAGTGGTTAAGAGCACTGGCTCCTCATGCAGAAGACCCAGGTTCAGTTCCCAGCACCCACAGGCAGCTCACACCATCTGTAACTCCAGTTCCATGGACTTCATTGCCCTCTTCTGGCCTCTTTGGGCTCTGCATATACATGGTACACAGCCACATATGAAGATAAAACCCCATACACATAGAATAAAATAATAAATAGATCTTAGAAAAAAAAAGAATGCCCACTGCTCTCCCATAGGACTTGTTTGATTCCCAGCACCCAAGTCAGGCTTCAGGTGGCTCACAATGCCTGTAACTTCAGTTCCAGGAGGATCTGATGCCTCTGGTCTCTGAAGGAGCACACATGTGCGTGAGCACACACGTGCATGCACACACACACACATATACACAGCAATACATGACCAAGCCAATTCTCATAGAAGAAAATATTTAATTGGGGGTTTGCTTATAGTTTCAGATGTTTAGTCCACGATCATCATGGCAGAAAGCAGTAGCTGAGAGTTTTGCATCCTGACCTCTAAGAGCTGGCAGAGAGACACTGGTCCTGCTGGGCTTTTGAAACCTCAAAGTCCACCTCCATGACACATCTCCTCCAATAAGCACACACCTCCTTTAATAAATTCCCAGTTCTTCCCAAACAGATCGACTGGGGAACCAAGCATTCCTCACATTTGCTTTTCGGGGGCCATTCTCATGTAGACAACCACAATAATAAACAGGAAGGAAGAAGAAGGTGGAGATGTGGGATAGCTTGGTGGTAAAGGCCCCTGCTACTATACCTGACGGCCTGAGCTGAAACTCCAGAACTGCGTGGTAGGAGAGAATCAACTCCCATAAGCTGTCCTCTGACCTCCACACAAGCTTTCCCCAAGAAAATAAATGGGTGTAATAAAAACTATTATTTTCCTTTAAAATTGAGCCGGGTGATAGCACACACCTTTAATCCCAGCTCTCAGGATGCAGAGCAGGTGAATCTCTGCGAGTTCCAGGCCAGACTGGTCTACCAAGTGAGTGGACAGCCAGGGATACACAGAGAAACCCTGTCTCAAAAACTCAAAATAAAACAAAACCAGAAAAAGAAAATCAAAGCTGGATGTGGGTTCAGATACTAGTAAACCTAACTGTTCTGAAGGAAGAGAAAATGACACTGAGTTACGGTCCAACCTGGGCTACAAAACAAGGTTCT